ATCTGTTCTAGGAGGGTTTTTTTTTGGGGGGGGGGGGTAAGCTTTCATACATAAGTGAGATCACACAGTATTTCTTTTGCTTAGCATAATGCCCTCAAGGTCAATCCATGTTACAAATGGCAAGATTTCATTCTTATGGGTGAATAATATTCCATTAAATATACATATACCACATTTCCTTCATCCATCAATTGACACTTAGGTTGCTTTAGGTCTTGACTATTGTAAATAATGCCGCAATGAACAGGGAGGAGAGAAGGGTGTATGTATCTCTGTGAGCTTACAATTCCTAATGAAATCTTATAAAATTCATGATCACTGCAAAAATACCCAACACCTGGTACATAACTGGCACTCACAGAGTTGCAAATTAACTGAATTCAATTTAACAATACAATTCAGGTTGAATCCTCCTTGAAAAGCCCTCACAAAGACCCAAAGGAAATTATTCCTATATTACTAAGCCTCCTCTTAGAAACAGCATAAAAATACTGGTACAACATAAAAGTGGTTACTGAAGAACAAGCAAATACCTACTAGTATTTAAAAACAGCAAAAAGAGTTTCGCATCCTCCTTTAAAAACTCTAATAATATCCCAGAAATCAACCCCTATCATTACCTAATTTATCTGTTGGAAGTACCATAATTTAACTACAAATCTTCCTCAACTTATAATGGGGTTATATCCTGATAAACCCATTTAGTTGAAAATACTGTATGTCCAAAATGCACTAAATACACCTAACCCACTGAACATCAATCACAACTTAGCCTAGCCCACCTTAAACATGCTTAGAATACTTATGTATTAGCTTAAAGTTGGGCAAAATGTAACAGAAAGCCTATTTTATAATAAAGTGTTGGGTATCTCATATAATTTACTGAACACTATACTGAAAGTGAGTAACAGAATGGTTTTAAGTGCATCGGTTGTTTACCCTTGTCATTACAGGATCACAGGCTGACTGGGAGCTGCAGCTCAATGCCTCTGCCCAGCATCACCAACATGTATTGCACGGTGCCAGCCCAACACGAGGTCAAAATTCAAAATTCGAAGTATGGATTCTACTGAACACATACCGCTTTTGCACCATTGTAAAATAGTACAATCATAAGTCAAACCATCAACAGCTGGAGACCTGTAGGTCCTTTCTCAGGGATAAATTGGTTCCAATTTTTTCTACTGTACACAGGAATAACTAAAGAGACAAGAAAGCACCTGGTAACTTCTTTACTCTGGGGAAAGAGGAGAAGGAAGGGGTGACCGTCAGATCTTTGAGAAACAAACAGGTTTCATGGGATAAGATCATTTGGATTTGGAAATGCTTAGTTTGAGGTGCCTGTGGAACGAATGCCAAGTAGAAAGCTCCGCAGATCTTGAACTCAGGAAACTGGTATGAGCTGGAGCTGTGACCGTCAAAATTGCATCTGAAGCTAGTTTTCTGTTGTGTTGAAGTGTACTTTCTATCAAAGATCAATCCCTTTTCATCTTGTACTTTAGTCCCTTCTCAAAGTCTTTGTTCTCTCCCCACTCCCAACAATACCTCCCTCTCTACTAGATCATTCCTGACAGTATGTAAACATGTTCTGTATCTTCCATTTTATACAAAATATTCTCCCTAAATTCAAATTTCCGTTTTTCTGCTCCACTTCATAATCAAATCTCTAGAGGCTGCCACCAATTCTTTCTCTTATTCACTCCTCTTCCAAATCCAATCTGGCTTCTGCTGCTTCTTTACAACTGCTTTCATCAAGGTTACTTAAAATCTCCATGTTACCAAATCCAAGGGATATATGTCTGTTTTCATTTGACTAGACCTCTCAACAACATTTGGCAACTGACTACTCCCTTCCTTCCTGAAATAGTGTCTCCAAAACTTCCATTTCATCACACACTACTGGTTTTCCTCCTGTCTCATCCATTCATTCAACAAATGATTAGGGAATATCTACTATATGAGAGACACTTTTTTTGGTGCCTGGGACATGCTAGTGAATGAGAGACCAAATCCCTGCCTGTGAGGAACTTCTATTCTGTGGAGGTGGGAGAGATGAGCAATAAATGCAAAAAATAATTATGTTAGAAGGTAATTAGAAAAAGAGCAGAATAAGAAGTGATCAGGGTGTGTGTAAGGAGATGGGTTGTAAAGTTGAACAAGGAGGTCATCATAGGTAGTGTTGTTCTTGGTTTATTTCTTTAAAAATTTTTTCTTAACATTTATTTTTGAG